GTGACAGGATGTTTTGATACTGTTCCGTTGGTCCCAACACTTTGATGCCAAGATTTCTTTTTGCCATGTTGTTTTGACCCCAAAAACTTCTTAAAGGTTTTTACATGCAGTTAGTTGACATTTAGATAGTATATTAATGACATATTGATGAATTTCTGTTGAGAAAAATTTTTTTTCACAATATTATTTATTAAGCCAATTTAGGTCTTTGGTCAATATCCTATATTTCATGATTAAGCAATTTTTTTGCCCACCAACAATCTGAAATTATGTTCATTGAGATCAGTTCTTGATGGGTTAAACTTTATGACAAAGATTTAGTTCATTGATTACTTGTTTGTCCCTGTCAACTTTTACTGATTGTAATTATTGCTGTTGGGATATTTCTTTTGTGACCCCTCACCTTTATTTTTTTTTAACCAAATTCAACGTCCCTAGATTTGATTCTTTCTACAGTGTTCGCCTTAGTTTGCAAGTATTATTTCTCCCACTGGTTTTTATCATGAATTATCTTCTTTAGTAAAATGATAGATCAAAGAAACATTCCTGAGAGCAGGTGTTGGTAGGAGGGAGATCCCAAATAATAATGAGAAAAGACTTCCATGAACACATATTATGCCCATTTTGCCACCTTGTCACCACCTTGTCACCCTGATTCCCTAGGCCTTCTCATACTGTGTGTTAGCAAATAGTTTTGTGTCTCCAGGAAACATACCCTCTCTAGTATCTTGAAGCCAAGCTTGTGATTCATAGACTCTTATTCAAGNATATTTTTCCTGACTATAAAATAATATATATTCATTGTAGAAAATTTAGGAAATACACAAAGGACAAAACAATGCTCAACTTATTCTTCCCAGAGATGGGTAAAATTTTTTAATGCATTTCCTTTTAGTATTTTTTTCTATGCTATTTTCCCTCAAAGTTGGACTCATACTATCTGTGTGATTTTGTAAACTACTGGTTGCACTTACCCTTGTAAGCTTTCTATAATGTCATTAAATATCCTTTGAAATCATTATTTTAATAGCTCTACAGTGTTCCATCATATGAATTTATTATGAAATGATATGACCAATTTGCCTTCCTGAATTTTAGGGCATTTATATTTTTCTTCTTTATTCTGTTAGAAATATTGCTGCTATAAGCACTCACACCCAAAAGCTATTGCACACCCCTCTGATAATTCACTCAGTATGCAGTCATAGACATGGGCATTCCATTGAAAGGAATGCACTTTTAAGGACTGTTAATATATGTGTTCAAATGGCTCTCCAGAAGGCTTGTACCCAGTTAGACTCTTGTTAACTGAATCCAAATGCCTGTTTCTTCCACGACATGATTTTCAGACAAGTCTCTACAGCTGGCCTGTCCTTCTCTGAGCCTAGAAGGGCAGTTCAGTTTTGGAATTCTAGTGAATGTATAAACCTCCTGAGGTATTTACGTCACTCTCAAGTACCCGACAGGGTACCATTCAGAGGATGATTGACTATTCTCACTCTGAAGTCAGGGAAGAAAGCCACAGGCCAAAGTGGTGCATCCTTTGTTCAGAAGAATTTCCTGGCGGTGGAGCTACCAGGGAGCAGAATAGTTTAGTCAGGGACGTGATAACTTTTGCCCACTGAAGAGTTTTAAAACGAAGATGTCAGCACTTAGGTCTGGGAAAGCCTCTGTGTGGCGCTGGGCCTGGCTCGGATGGACTTTTCAGGATCCTCATATCTCGGGCACAGTGTAGAACAACTGCCTCAGAGCCATGTTTTGATTTATTAAAATGCTTAGACAACTTAAATTCTGATGACTCCTGTATGAAATATGCAGAGAAACCCAAGTTTAACTTGGTCCTGGCTTTTACGGAGTATTTCATTGCAAGTTTATAACTTTTAAACAAGCAGTTAGTTTTTAAGCAAAGAAGGGGTTAGGGAGATTTAGAAACTCAGCACCAGGAAAATCACTGATTAGAGAAACAGCACATCAACCCTTTCTGCCTGTGTGTTGAGTCTACACTGTGATTGGGGGTGGAGGAAGCAGAAGGGAGGAAAGAAGGAGAGGAACTGAAAGAATGAACTAGGCTTTCCTCGTGGAGTAAATAGAAGCCACATGGCTATTCTGCTAGGAACAGAAAAAAAGCTAAGCAAGAACAACCTGCAAAGAAATCTATGGAGGCAGAAAGCAAACCGGTGATTGCTAAAGGCTGGGGGAAGGAGGAATGAGGAGGAACTGCTAAGTGGGGACAGGGTTTTCTTCTGGGTGGTGAAAAATTTTTTGGAACTAGATAGAGGTGGTGATTGCACAACATTGTGAGTGTGCAAAATGTCACTGAATTGGTCAACTTTCACATGGGTAATTTTATGTTATGTGAATTTCACTTCAATTTTTAAGGTATATTAAAAAAAAAAAAGCTGCTTGCAAAGGATTTTTATGTCAAGCTACACCGAAGTCCTGCTTTTCATAAAGCATACGCATGCATAGGTATTGATCAAAAAAGAGAGAAAACAAAGCAAAGCAAAACAAAACAAAACAAAACAAGAAGCATTAGCCCCAAGGTTGTAGAAATGGCAACTTGAATCTGAAGGAAACACACAGGTCACACTTAGGTGTGACCTTTTAATGGGGACATTTGAGTGTGTCCTTTCTGGGGAAGCCAG